AACCTACTTCATGACACCACCTACTTCATGACACTACCGAACTTCCTGACACCACCTACTTCATGACAACACCTACTTCATGACACAACCTACTTCATGACACCACCTACTTCATGACAACAGACAACACCTACTCCATGACACAACCTACTTCATGACACCACCTACTTCATGACAACAGACAACACCTACTCCATGACACCACCTTCTTCATGACACCACCTACTTCATGACAACACCTACTTCATGACACAACCTACTTCATGACACCACCTACTTCATTACACAACCTACTTCATGACAACAGACAACACCTACTCCATGACATCACCTTCTTCATGACACCACCTACTTCATGACACCACCTACTTCATGATACCACCTACTTCATTACACCACCAAACTTCATGACACCACCTACTCCATGACACCACCTACTTCATGACACCACCTACTTCATGAGACCACCTACTTCATGACAACACCTACTTCATGACAACACCTACTCCATGACACCGACTTCTTCATGACAACACCTACTTCCTGACAACAGACAACGCCTACTCCATGACACCACCTTATTCATGACACCACCTACTCCATGACACCACCTTCTTCATGACACCACCTACTTCATGATACCACCTACTTCATTACACCACCAAACTTCATGACACCACCTACTCCATGACACCACCTACTTCATGACACCACCTACTTCATGACAACACCTACTCCATGACAACACCTACTTCATGACAACACCTACTCCATGACACTGACTTCTTCATGACAACACCTACTTCCTGACAACAGACAACACCTACTCCATGACACCACCTTCTTCATGACACCACCTACTTCATGACACCACCTACTTCATGATACCACCTACTTCATGACACCACCAAACTTCATGACACCACCTACTCCATGACACCACCTACTTCATGACACCACCTACTCCATGACACCATCTACTTCATGACACCACCTACTTCATGACACCACCTATTTCATGACAACACCTTCTTCATGACACCACCTACATCATGACACCACCTACTTCATGACAACACCTATTTCATGACAACACCTATTTCATGACAACACCTTCTTCATGACAACGACTACACCTACTTCATGACAACACCTACTTCATGACACCACCTACTTCATGACACCACCTACTTCATGACACAACCTACTTCATGACAACACCTACTTCATGACAACACCTACTTCATGAAAACACCTTCTTCATGACAACAACCTACACCTACTTCATGACACCACCTACTTCATGACACAACCTACTTCATTACACAACCTACTTCATGACACCACCTACTTCATTACATAACCTACTTCATGACAACACCTACTTCATGACAACACCTACTTCATGACAACACCTACACCTACTTCATGACAACACCTACTTTATGACAACACCTACACCTACTTCATGACAACACCTACACCTACTTCATGACAACACCTACTTCATGACAACACCTATACCTACTTCATGACAACATCTAACTTCTGACACCTACTTCATGACAACACGTACTTCATGGCAACACCTACTTCATGACAACACCTACTACAGTGTCAGGTGTGTAGGTGTCCAGGTGTGTTGAGATATGTCTAGGTATGTAAAAGTGTCAGGTGTGTAGAGGTGTGTAGGTGTGTAAAACCTACTTCATGACACCACCTACTTCATGACACTACCGAACTTCATGACAACACCTACTCCATGACACCACCTACTTCATGACACCACCTACTTCATGACACAACCTACTTCATTACACAACCTACTTCATGACACCACCTACTTCATGACACCACCTACTTCATGACAACACCTACTACAGTGTCAGGTGTGTAGGTGTCCAGGTGTGTTGAGATATGTCTAGGTATGTAAAAGTGTCAGGTGTGTAGAGGTGTCTAGGTATGTAAAAGTGTCAGGTGTGTAGAGAGGTGTGTAGGTGTGTAAAAGTGTCAGGTGTGTAGAGAAGTGTCTAGGTATGTAAATGTGTCAGGTGTGTAGAGGTGTGTAGAGGTATGTAGGTATGTAGGTATGTAAAAGTGTCAGGTGTGTAGAGAGGTGTGTAGGTATGTAAAAGTGTCAGGTGTGTAGAGGTGTGTAGGTATGTAAAAGTGTCAGGTATGTAGAGAGGTGTGTAGGTATGTAAAAGTGTCAGGGGTGTAGAGAGGTGTGTAGTGAGGTGTGTAGATATGTAAAAGTGTCAGGTGTGTAGAGAGGTGTGTAGAGAGGTGTGTAGAGAGGTGTGTAGAGAGGTGTGTAGCAGGGGTCTGGAAACGATCATATGTGCCGGACATGTCCGATTGAGAATCTCAAATGTCCGGTTTAAAATATTGCTTACATTTAAATTTTTCTGGACATTTTTAGGACTGAGCAGTTTCTGTCTGCAGTTGCCAAACCCTCAAAGTCTGGACGATCATTTTGTAAGTCGTTGCTTACTTGCAGATTTTATTGTTTTCAGTAGCTTGTCGTATATTGAATCTTGATTGACCACCATTTTGTTTTCTGTGACGATCGATATCATATTTTTTTATGGTCAATAATAAAGTACAGATGAAAAAAGTATTCAAATAATTATTGCTATCAACGATATTTTAGTATTTGTGATTATATTATCTGTCATGTTTTTAAAAAATCTTTAGTTTAAAAAAAATCTTTTCCAGGGAGGTCACGTGATAACCAAATGTGGGATATAGTCTCGATTCAAATGTTACAACGCATACACTTGAGCAGATACAACTCATGAATATTACCGTATATGACCGCGGATAAGCCGACCCCGTAGATAAGCCGAGGTGTTAACTTGACCATTGAAATACGAAAGAAAATGATATGACCCGCAGATAAGCAGAACCAGGAACATTTCATATTGTGGGAAGCTGTTTCTCGTGGTTTTTTTTAATCTCATAATGATCGTTATATGTTGCCATCAACAACGAAGCGCCATTTTGTGAATCGGTGTATATAGAATTATGAACCCGTGAGAAAATATATCAGCTAGAGCGAAGACTCGCAGTTTGAATTCAACATCGTAAGCATGGCGTTTTCGTTGGAGAATGTCAGTCAGTAAAAATATACCAACTTTTATAACCCCCTTTACACCACTATTGTACATGTTAATCCAATAGAATTAAATAAACTATCATACTATGAACCCATTGAATGACCATCACTTACTCACAGGCTTCTCCAGTTTATTAAACTAATCTCTCGAAAACAAAGGAATTAAGCTCCTACTCCCAACACGATCGCTAAGCACCCACAACTTGAAAATGTTTGTGTAAACAACATGACAATACCAATCGGCCCGTTATTATCAATGCTCATTTCCTTGTGTACCGTGTTGCTTTTTAAACAACAGGAAGCAATCACAGTGGTCACCGTTTGTGACGTCACAGGAAACAGCTGATCACATGTTTTTGCAAATGGCGAACGGAATAACTCGCGCGATACAGTTGTTTATTTGCCTCTTTCAATAAAGGTAGACACTTGTTCACTATCAATTTATGAACTTTGAAAAACGTACGTAATAGCTATTGGCGATTTCATCTGGGGATTATATATTATAGCTGTGAATTACATATATTGTTACATGTAAAAATTGTCGAGTTTACGAAGAACGATAAACTTTAAACATTCAATTGAAAACTTATTAACGGAAGTAGTAACATGCATAACATTTTTTTAATAATGACAACATTGGTGTATAATAATAACTTTATTGATAATTTATAACAATAATGGCTCTAGTCGTGGCAACTTCCAAACTTTCGGGAAGTTGTGATCTATCGGACCGTCATTCAGGCGATGTTTCTGACAGATCACGATCTGAAAAATACTATCATGAAAGTGTATCCCGTGGATAAGCCGACCCCTTTCTACAGAATCTTTTTTCTGGTCCTCAAAATTCGGCTTATACGCGGTCATATACGGTAATTAGACCGTTCACTACGTAAACAGATCGTTATTACACGGACGTATATACAATATATACGTCTTTGGTTATTATAACAGAAATAAACGTGTGTTTTCCATGCAATTCTAAAATGATATTATTTGTTATTCATTGTCCGGTGAATTAAACAATTTAAAATTAAACAATTCATAATTCATCATATTATGAATACGTAACAACTTGTAATGTGTAAAGACGTACTAAAATACGCTATGTGAAGGGGGCGTGGCCGAAATGCAAATGTCCGATTGGGATTTTAAATTTTCCGGACCCCTGGTGTGTAGGTATGTAAATTTGTCAGGTGTGTAGAGAGGTGTGTAGGTGTGTAAATGTGTCAGGTGTGTAGGTGTCCAGGTGTGTAGGTATGTAAATGTTCTAAGCTCTTATACTTCATCTCAAACACTGCTTCTATAGACAATAAAACAATATAGCAATCACTGAACCAAGTAAACTTGAATTCCCCCTCGACAACAACAGAGTTAGTTCTATAAATATTGATCTCTAGTTCCACGTACGTGTATTACCTGAAATCAATGAAACATTTCTCCACTGTACAGTAACATTAAAAGCATGTTTGTGATGCACCAAATGTGCTTGAGTTTTTAGGTAGCAAGAATCACCTAGTCCACCAAGAACAATAAAACCAAAAAGAGCAAGTTCACTGCTAATTGAGTTGAATGAATATCTTTAGGAAAAAATGGATGAAGTAAACAATTTTCAAGAAACAGGCCCTATTATCCATTGACTGAGTTATTTGTAGCTAAATGACTACAGTAAAGCCAAGGAGTCTAACAAATCCTCATCAATGTGATCAAGCCTGCTCCTTGATGGAAGACTGTACTTAAAAAGGATATCAAAGAAGCTATAAGTAAGAAAAGTATGCCACAAGATTTAAACGAGATTAATCAAGATGTAAAGTAACCTAAATACCCTTCTTCTACATTAAGATGTTATTCCAGTAAAAGCTCTGAAAGGCAAGAGGTTACTTACGGCAGTTTGTGCTGTGATATGCGTGCACCCAATTATTTTGGCTCCCACCAGGGGCTTATCTGCCTCGGCTCTTCTCCGTAGTGCCATAAGACCTGGCATTTCTGAAACATTCAATATATGATAACATTGGTCAACACTCAAACCCCTTTGTTTCTGAAATATTCAAAATATGACAAAGTCAGCATGTAGTGAACCTTAAATCCACAGGAGACTGAATCAAGCAGTCATCAATGCATGCCCTCCTGAAGCAGGGCCCTCCTGACAAAAGTAGCTGGTATTCCACTCTACCAACTTTACCACCCTTCACTGAGGTAGCCTTGGGTAAACTACTGCTACATGAATGTACAGCACCCAAAGATATATTTAGATCCGATGTCATTGTTAAACATTAATTCCACAAGCCATCTACATCCAAATATTCTAGTCTTCTGTGAAGCCATCAGCTAATGATGTAGCTCAAGGCCAAGGGCATCGTAAAAGGTCAACACTGACTTGTTTTTCAATCTTGTACTGACTTTGAGTGTGGGTAAGGGTTACAAGCTACTGTAGACAGCACAGGACTAGCCAGTAGGTTTAGGGAGCTGTCCAGGTGCGGAAAGGTGTGTCCAGGTATGGAATGGAGTGCCAGGTGTGTAATGAGGGTGTCTACATGTGTGGAAAGTACAGGTGTGTAGGGAGCGTAGAAGGTGTGGGACTAGGGAGCACTGGTGTTGAAGAAAGAAGACAGCAATGGGTGACTGCTGTCAGGTATAAAATGGTGGTGGTTTTTCAGTATGGAAGTCATCATCAATATATTTTTTATTTCAATCCATTGCCGCCATGAAATGATACAGCCAAGAAATGGACACAATAGACAAACTGTCAAAACAACACAATCAAACATACCCGAACTAACAAACAAATTTATTGGAAGAATCTTTCTATCGAGTTAGAAATTCCTTCTTTGAGAATATTACTCAATGTGTGAAGGTCACGCCATCTATGCATCAAGTAACGCCTAAACAGGACAGCACTGCCCTTCAACTCACCTTGTTCAGCAATCTCAATCTCTCGCCTCCCAAATGCATTGTGTTCCACATTTCTCACACAGAAGTCACCAAAACCTTTGGAATTTTTCTGAAATAAAAGGAAATTTGACATTAAAACGTTAATGAAAAAAACACTATGTTTATTCTGCCAACATCAAAGGTACATACTCTGTGTCTCTAACGCCATAACGTGCCAGCAGATCTGTATCTCCTCAGGCAGTACAGTCGGAGGACGACTTTGTATCATGCAATTTATCACTTTCAAACAAGCCACCTTTCCAGGGGCAATGTCAGTTAGCATGTCCTTATATTTTCCAACACATTCACTGAGGTATATGCTCAATCAATACAAGAAAACAAGACTTGAGGTTTCAGGTTGTTAGTGGATGTGTAGATGCATGATAACACTCCACAATGACCACAAGGCTATAACAAGCCACAAAGTCATCTTTCAACTCCGCATCAGTATTTCCAGCAGCAGGGATCAAACTTAGGAGACACAAAACTAAGTGATGGAAAACAGTCTGTTTGCCGGTGGTCTGTAAATAATCGAGTCTGGACCAGACAATCCAGTGACTGACATCATGAACATTGATCTACACAAATTGGATATGATGACATGCACCAACCAAGTCAGCGAGCCTGACCACCCAATCCCGTTAGTTGCCTCTTACGACAAGCATAGTTGCCTCTTACAGCAAGCATGGGTTGCTGAAGACCTATCTCCAAGGGTCTTGAAATTAGCGATTTATGAGATGATTTGAAGCCAAAACACCACCATGATTGAAGATATTCAATGACAAATTATAGATCATCTGCCAGAGGTATTGAATTTTTTTATTTCAATTCAAGTTGAAATAAGGACTTTTATGCATATTTGATTTGTTGAAGGCCCCAGACGACTGCATCGTACATGAAATATCGTGCTGTCCCCGACAGCTCTAACATGGTACAAGTGGTAATAGCAGAAGAAATGGATTTAGTTAGGAAGTTTCCTGATCATGATCTGACTATTGATGTGATACACTGCCATGGACAAAACACATGTGATGCTCATTTCAAAAGATTTATTTCAAAACTACCAAAAGATTTCTTAATGCAAACTTTTCGTGGGTGGTTTGGGTACAGACTTCCAAGCATGTAATTAAGTCAATGTGCAATGTTTTGAAATGATAGAGAAACGTTCATAGTGATACACTGATAAGTTCTATTGAGAATATCATTCCTTTTCGACACAAATTGAAGTTATCAGTATTTCCACTGCAAGTGTAGGTTTGCCTGAAGCAGGGCCTCCTGGTGTAGATTTACATAAACCCTGCATCTGAATGAGGGAGCAGAGAACTGAGATGAGGGCAGGGGGATGTATCCAAAACGCAGCATCTGTGTCCTGATAAGGAATATTTCATGGCAGGGAATGAACAGTATGTTGACAGAAGTGTCAGGGAAATGGGTTTTCCACTACTCAGTAACCTGTGGCAGCTGTGTTATGACACCTGGTAAATATTGTGTCACAGCTGTGTCATGACAGCCGGTAAATATTGTGTCACAGCTGTGTCATGGCAGTCGGTAAATATTGTGTCACAGCTGTGTCATGGCAGTCGGTAAATATTGTGTCACAGCTGTGTTATGACACCCGGTAAATATTGTGTCACAGCTATATCATGGCAGTCGGTAATATTGTGTCGCAGCTGTGTCATAGCACCCTGTAAAATATGTGTCACAGCTGTATCATGGCACCCGGTAATATTGTGTCACATCTGTATTATGACACCCGGTAATATTGTGTCTGAGCACCCGGTACATATTGTGTCACAGCTGTATCATGGCACCCGGTAATATTGTGTCACATCTGTATCATGACACCCGGTAATATTGTGTCTGAGCACCCGGTACATATTGTGTCACAACTGTATCATGGCAGCCGGTAAATATTGTGTCACAGCTGTATCATAACACCCGGCAATATTGTATCACAGCTGTGTCATAGCCCCCGGTACAAATTGTGTCGCAGCTGTATCATGGCACCCGGTAATATTGTGTCACAGCTGTATCCTGGCAGCCAGTGATATTGTGTCTGAGCATCCGGTAAATATTGTGTCACAGCTGTATCATGGCAGCCGGTAAATATTGTGTCACAGCTGTATCATAGCACCTGGTAAATATTGTGTCATAGCTGTATCATGGCAGCCAGTAAATATTGTGTCACAGCTGTGTCATGGCAGCTGGTAAAAACTGTATCACAGCTGTGTCATGGCAGCCGAAGCATTGGGGGATACCATCCATGGACAAGCCAGTCAGGTATGATGGCACAGAATCAACCAGGCCATACATTTTCCCATTTCATCTCCATTTCAGTCACCTCTTATGACAGCTTTAGATATTGGCACTAGTCCTGTAGTCCTTACCAAACTGCCCAATAGTAAAGGTATCCTAAGGACTAGTAGAAATTGGCCCATTTTAAGGGTTTTGCTATATGTTATCATTATAAAGACCAGTGGACAAAAACTGTTAGTTTCTAACCCTGTATGACATGATGGTTCTTTAAATCTGTTCTTCCTCAGAATGTTAATGGGGAGATGCTACCAGGAGCCTTACAGCATTTTTCACATGGCCAGATGGTATTCAGTGTTGAGCAAATATATCACATATTTGTCAAGCATACCAAGGTAGGTAGGTTGACAAATGTTCCCTTACTGTATCAGAGGTACTTTCATTACCAATTACTTCCATGTGCCCGGAATCAATGTTAATTGGAATATTACCTTCACCTTCTGGGTGCGAAGCATTAACAGGGCTAGAAATGCAATTTTTGCCAAGTGTGCCACAAGGCACAAGGTATAAAATTTAGTTGTGCCTTGGGAAATCATGGGGTGCCCAGCCAATTATTTGTTACATTTCAGCATTAAAATTTTTAACAACCATTCAAGTGTTTGTTGTTTATTTGTGTCTCTCTGGTCAGTAGTTCAATCAAAATGTTAATAAATTCATGTAATTGTAAGTAAGTGAGACATCTGTGATCTTAATAGTAAGCGATTTATTCAAGTTAAAGTGAGTTACAAACTTTCTTTACTGACTTCCATTTAATGACTGTGACAGACAAGCCCCATCTGAAGTAAAATCCACTTAGATATACCTATTTCTGTTTTATTTTCATTGTTTACGTAATTGAAAAATCATTTTAAATAGAATTATAAATAGTTTCTGTCATCACCCATTTCCCGATAACAGCGGCTGACCGCTCAGTAACATGAAGAAATACCCCTGTTTTCGAGGCTTCGTTTGAATAACACGTTCGTCGAAGAATGGCATATGACACATCGCTGGAAAGCTTATTCCTTCATCTACACGCTCGTAACATCGCCTGTTTTTTTCCGTAGTTATAACAAGAGATTGTATTGGATTAAAATTGGTTTCTAATGACGCTTTCTTGCCGAAATCTGCTACAAGTTTCATGATAGGTCAATTTTGAGCATGTGACATAAGGCAGCCAATCAATTTACAGCTGTGATACCAAGCTTGTGTTTGATAAATTTTAGAAGTTGGCGAAAGATTTTTGTTAAATCGTGTTATTCTGAACGCTTAAAGCAGGAAATTACGATATACATTAAAAATACGGAACTTCGTGAATGTATCGTGCTAGGTTACGAGCTGTGACAAAAGATTTTTCATGCATATATTTTTACATTAAACATCGTGTCCGAGCCGAGAATTCAAGGCGACGAAAGCCGAGATGTCATTCGACTTACATTACACACGATCGCACGAAAGGATGGAAATAATAACTTAGATGTAATTTTGATTACTTTTAGATAGAATCTATATTTTTGTTGATTTTATTTATTACTTTGTATAATATATTTAAAGATTTGTTTAAAACGTCTTTATTTTGCTCTTTGACATGTTCAATGTGGACCCGTTGTCGAAATGTGTGTCATCGCGGGAAATAGTGAATAAGTTTTTAATTTATCGATAAAAAATGATGAATTGAAATGGAATACGTATTTCAGACATTGTGATATGTGATAGATTTAATAAATGAATGATATTACATGTAGATCTAGGTCCATAAAAATATATACTATTTTGACGTGACTATGGCTTGGCCGGTTAACCGGCCTACGGTGTCTGGGGACTCGATGCTTCTTGGCCGGAAAACCGGCCTACGGTGTTGAAAGAGTTAATTAATTGCTGATGAGATTTATATTTATCATTAAAATATGCCTTATATGGCAAAGGTAGGTTATTAATTCCTATTTTCCAAGCGTGCCATCGAGGCATGAAGATCATGATTTAGCCGTGCCATTTTCATTTTAGGCGTGTGATGGCACGCAAAATACGGTTAATTTCGAGCCCTGATTAATCAAAACTACTCATATGTACTGAATTGGTTTTTCAAATTCATTTATCCATTCATCTTGTAAATTCAGCTACAGCCATCTTCCCGAGGCAAGAGTGTCCACTAGCCTTTTTATCAAAGTCTTGTTTCCACACCTGCCACATCAAGCCCACTTTCCTGTGCTAAATATGATTGGACTATCGTACATATAGATAGTCCAATAAGAAAATGTTTCACAAAATCAACATCAATGACTGGTACACCTCCATATGAAAGTGATTTACCACTGCCTGTCTTTGTTGACACAAATGTCTTTTTCATTTTTTAAACCCCCGAACAATTGCCTATGTTTTTGTTATGTGATCAGATAGGTTGTCGCCTATGGTAGTCGCCATCTTTGTGAAGCTACCGGTATATAAGATAAGAACAGTGATCTGATTGGATATCACGTTTTCATTACAAGGGGCACAACTTATGATTTATGCAAGGTGGCGCCAGGGTCGAGCCAAGAAAAGTGGCCTTGATGTGGCAAGGGTAGAAACAAGGCTTTGATATAGGCTAGCAGACATGCTTGCCTCGGGAAGATGAGCTACAGCTTTCATTGATTGCATGTCTGGGTTCAGAGATGTTGGTGATTCAGTCCACTCAAACTGATCAGATTTATAACTGAATTGGACACACTCTTACAAGCATTGTGGAAATTTGAAAATTAAATGCCATGAAAACAACAGACCTACTTCTAATGATTTGCTAGATTTCTCTCTGAGTGACACTGGACATGATCTCTACAGAAGGAAATCCCTATCAATCCAAACATATTAAGGCTAGTATCTACTGTATCAAACAAGAGTCCACAATGACGAAGGCATGTAACACTTAGAAAATAACTGATTATGTGTTCCAAATGTTCATTTTGTAAGTTCCAAACTGGGCACGGGACTTTCAACATTATTTCACAAGGGTCAGATATTTGGCATTTCCAAGTTGTGAGAAGGCAAAATATTACATTTAAAAATGATAGTTTCATGACCCCAAATTGAGACATGAGTTTAACCAATGGGTTTACTTACCTGAGGTTTCTCTCTTGGACTGATATCTTCTTCATCAGATGAGCTGCCTGTGTAGGATGCTGAAAAACAAATAAGAACTATAAAAATTTACATCCCAGAAAAGCAAACCTGCTACATGTAATTTACTTCACTTCTACTTGAAGAGATATGTAACATATTGTCTCTCTTTCACCTGCAGTACTGCCCATCACATTAATTACACATGTTCAGCACATGGAAAACATTCACTGACATTTCCATTAGATTGGATTTTGTTGGGTTCTTTATCAAGATGTGATTAAATCCCCAAATCCTTGACATTTTGTTAGATGTATTTTATTCTGTCTGCTTTAAGCAGATCAAAGTGTCTTGAAATAAGGTACCCCTGTACATTAATTTGCAAGAAAAACAACACACAGCTTTGGTTTGTCAGAGAGGCCTGTCAAAAATAGCATGGTTCACTATAAACATCAAAAGATCTTCTTTTTTTACACCATCACTATTCATACAATAGAAGGCCATGGCTCAAAATGTCTGGTCTCAAGTGTACATTCAAGCTGCTGATATATCCCTAATATGGACATATTGAGTCTAATTACTGTATTAGAAACTTTAAACATAGTTCCAACACAGGTTTAGGTCCTGTAGGAACTGCATAACCTAGGGGTCTCTGTGTAATTAATTCTAGTGGGCAGGAGATGCCTCAAGCAGTTAGTCTACATGCTCTGCAGGACGGAACTGTCAGGCATGACAAATACTCTGACTTAGGCGACAGAGAGGTGGAAAGATGAGGACAGGTTTATTTGTGTGTGACAGGCAGCGTCATTGGTTTCACCTTGGCAGAAGGGAGGTAGCCTATGCCAGCCGGCAGAGGACACAATTCACGGTCATTACATGTGTCGGGCTTCCTGCTATGTACAGAGGAAATTGGCTGCCATATGATTTCTTGTAGAGACGCCATCATTTTCCAACCTTGTCTTGTCTTTGAAGCAAATGTCAGTATATTTATAACTATCAAGCTATTATCCCCAATATTCTCTAGCCATATATCTTTACATAGAAAGAGGGACAATGTCCTCAAACTAAGGCCAAGCTATATACAAAGTATGCATCATGAACAAAAACGAGGTTACATATCGGATCTTGTGTGGATATGTACTGATATGATTTGAAAAAGGCTCTTGTTGGGAAACATAAGTATACTATCATTCAATGCATATGCTGAAAAACTAAATAGGTCACTGATGTCTACTGTCTTACAACACAACTGAAAGAAACAGGTTACAGAATAATGATAATAACCAACTCTGTGTGACCTGACATGGAGAGGTGTATGCACCTCTTCCTATACAGCAGGTAGCTGAGACACAGAGCCAACCTGCCACCAGACAAGGATGAAGTAATGCAGGGCAATGTGTGAGTGGCTCACAAGACAAACACAATGGCATCAAGAAGCATTAGAAGCATTGTGAAGAATGATTGAAACTTCTTGCAGTGTTTGATGAAAACAGACATTCAAAAACATTAGTGTCTTTTTTAAGAAACACAGATTCTGAATTACAGGTTAGCTTAGACCACTCAATGCACAATGTGTGTATTGTGTGGGGCACTGGTACCACACCCTGGATACTTACAAACACTATGGTCTCTCATTATGATGGTAGTTGCTGCTAGTGTACTCCTGTGTTAAAGTGTATGACTGCCGTGAAAGCTGGACGACTGTCAGGTAAGAGTGGAATACCTGTGTTGTCCAGTGACTGTCAGATAATAGAGTGGACAATCACTCTCTCTCCTCCACTGATGTCAACCAAGACAGGGGTACAGGTCTAGTGCCTACCACAGGATAGTAATTGTCATGGGTGATGTATGAAAATATGAACGTCATTTCTTAGCTGACAGGTGTAATGTATGCATATCCTGCGTAGACTTCCGACTGCCTTCAGGCACACACCTATAAAGGATTGGAAAGCTCCAAGCCACTGAGGTCAGCATTAATAAGTGTCTATTGTGATGTCCTGATTTGTTTTGGTGATGACAAGCGATGTCTACACACAAGAGTATGGACTGTTTTAGCAGGTAAAAGTATGGTGCAGCACACAGCCCCAGGCACAACTTCTCAAACACGGCCAACATCTCAATCTTAGCCCGAGGGGACATCTGGTAATCAGTGACGTAACACTGCACTTATGTCGAACTTGATGTGTAGATTTAGTTACCCTTGGGATAACATTGTCCGATAAAGGTCATGGGCCTTATTAGAAGTTCACACAGCCTATTGAACTAAGTCATTTACCAATTCACTTTCCAAGTAAATATACATGATTCCTTCTTTCTCCTGGCAGGTGTGTTGACCTGCACCGTGGATCAACTTGATGGTGATGTAACACGGTCAGCAACCTCTGGCCACTATTTGCTACTGACCCCAATAACAATCTGTAGCCATCCATCACCTGGTGAGGACAGAAGGACCTCTGCACATGGTGTTTTATATGCACCAGCTACAGTGTGGAGCAACTAGATTTGTCACATGTCACCAACTTACCTACAAACACAGTGATTACTGTACGTCAGTCCATATTGCTTCATCACAATATAGGTTAACTGATCTCCAGTGTTGGTACACTTGAGTTTCTGTCCAGAGCCAGTGTACAACGGTCTCCTCTTTGTCAAACACAACAGATAAATTATGGCCAGTGGCGCAGACAGGATGACACAATATTGATAATCAGTTTGCTGGCACAAAGGTCACTCCCTGAGGTCAATGTCTTTCACAGAATACATCACAATGTTTGTGTCTCACTCTAGCAATATTCCAGCCATACGACAGCAGCCTGTAAATAATTGAGTCTGGACGAGACAAATCAGTGATTGATATTATGAGCAACAATCTCTGCAATCTTTTTAAAAATGTCACATTGTCAACTAAGTCACGGAACCTGACCACCCAGTTATGTTGCCTCTTACGTCCAGCACAGATGACTAGGGACCTAAAATAGACAAAAATGTTTATGGGTAACAACTTCTTTCTTATATTGAAATTGTGATGTTTTTAAATACATTTGGTACAGATTCAGTTTCACTTGACAATAGTACAAGAATCTATACCAAAACATCGCAACTATAGTATAACAAAGAAGTTGTTATCCAAAACACATTTTTATCTACTTTGTCATCCGTCAACTTCTAAGAAATGCCTGTGAAACAATACTGGGGATCCATTGCAGTGTTTGTGTTTACGGCGTCCCATATACAAAAATACGCACTGAAAACAGGACGCAAAAAAACAATATACACGTGTCCCCTTATGCGTGAAGTGAACTTTTTTCAGAATGAAAAACGCGTAACTTATTGTTGTTTTGTTTCGTGTTTCTCTTGCTCCCCAAACCCATGTGATAATGTGTATCCAATATTCGCTGGGTTCCGGCGCTAGCCAGATTTCCGTGTGTATGTGGGAAACTGAGAGGTATCTGATGACGTTTCTCTTCCATGTTGTGTCCGTAATGGCATTCCATTATGCGGAAATAGAAACGGAAGCCAATCGCAGACCTTGTTAACAGTATTTTATCAATGTCAAAGACTAAGGTCCAAATCGCATCGCCGAAACTTTGTCAAAAGAAAAATAGGTTTCAAGAAAGTTCGCTTAAAGAGCCAATACACAGTAGGCCAGTAGACCGGCCAAGCCTGGGTCACATCAAAAGAGAGGGTAGATCTATATAATTTTATGAACCTACCTGTCATATCATTCATTTATTAAATCTATCACATTTCACAATGTCTGAAATACGTATTCCATTTCAATTTATCATATTTTATCGATAGATTAAAAATAAATCACTATTTCCTCGATGTTATTGAAAGTAAAATTCTCTGACACACACTTCGACAACGGGTCCAGATTGAAAATGTCCAAGAGCAAAATAAAGACGTTTTGTTGCAAATCTTTAAACATAGTATACAAAATAATAAATAAAATCAACCAAAATGTATCTATAAGTTGTCAAACTTACAGCTAAGTTATTATTTCCATCTTTTCATGTGATCGCGTGTAATGTAAATCAAATGTCATCTCGGCTTTCGTCACCTCGATTTCTCAGCTCGGATACGATGTTTCCAATATGCCTGAAAAACCTTTGTCACAGCTCCTAACCTAGCATGATACATCCATGAAGTTCCATGTGTTTAATATAGATCGTGAGTTTCCTGCTTGAAACGTTCAGAATAACAAAAACCTTTCACCAAAATTTTAAATTCATTACACAGGTACCATTGCTGTAATTTGATTGACAGCCTTAGGTCATGTGCTCTGGTTTGACCAATCACCACCCTCGTAGCATATATTGATAAGAAAGCATGTTACAGCTACGAAAAGACTCTGGGCGAGGTTTTGTGTAGATGAAAAAATAAGCTTTCTAATTCGAAGCTCTGAAAATGGACGTATTTCTTCATGTTACTGAGCGGACAGCCACTGTTATCGGGAAATTGGTAATGACAGATTCTATTGACAATTATTTTTAAAATACTTTTCTGATCACGTAAACAATGAAAATAAAAAAGAAATAGGTAAGTGGATTTTATGATTTTCATATTACACAATACCCTTCTCGACTCTAAAAATAAATAAATAATTTCCCCTATGCTGATTTCCTAGCTAGAGCTGGCTAGACTTGCTTTTGTATATGTTTCTAGATTGGTGTTGTTTTCATAAAATAAATATATTCCACAGTCATGGTGCATGGTACAAACAAATATTTTCCTTGATAAATGTTGGCTACATCTATCACATGAGTGTCCCCAGGAACTCGGTGTCACAGGTGTCACAGCTGTTGAAAGAGTCAAGTGGCTAATCTATGAAGATTCAAAGATGTTTTGTGTACATACATAAAAAAAACCGACACTTAAAGATTTTAACCACCTAAACCCCCCCTAGATAGGACCCATTATTTTGGAGAACAACGCAAACACTGCATTGTATCCCTTGGCTCATAGTTTAGACAATTATACAAATACAAGTACACTAATTTATTTCCCTGCAGTTTACCAAAAGACAGCTATTTATCACTGAACAAACCTATTACAAATG